GGGAGCCCGATGCGGGACTCGATCCCAGGACCCTGGGATCATGACCTGAGCCGAAGGCAGACGCTTAACCATCTGAGCCACCCAGGCGCCCCCCATGTATTTCACTTAAATCCAGAGTTTGTTATATTGACTTCATTATGTTCAGTTGATGTTATACTAGCTTTCTTGGCAATACTTCTGGTAACTGCCAATTAATTTTGGCTCTGACCTCTATGAAACAGAAGTAAAGCAGAGATAGGGTAAAAATTCTAAGTCAAATCTCCTCTGTATATAGGAATAGCTGAACTACATGTAGAACGTAAATGTTCTCAGGGGGAAAAGGAATGTGCATGATACACAAAAGCTTCTATCTGCATGTGCGCAGTACGTAAGAGTTCCATCAGGAATAATCTTTCAGGACATGTATGTCATAAATGAACACATCTCAGAATTTGGTGGATCGTGGCTAACAATATCTTCTCTTGTGCTCATCAATGGCTAAGGAACTAAAAATATTAATAATGAAACATTACAAATAATTTTATACATAATTAAGTCCATATGTAACGTGTATCCTTTATTTTTCTGAGGAAATACCTGTGTACAGATGTCTTTTAGGTTCACAGTATTTCTGTTGAGGGTTCCATACTGTATTTTTGGGGCAAACCAATGCATTGTTCACATAGACATCCAAACGCTGAAGCGTGGGAAAAAATATTCCTACCACCACAGCCTGTTAAAAAATAAACAACATTTTTGTTTCTTATGAGAACAATGAAACAGAATATTTAGAATTTGGCACTTAAAAATGTCCTTCAACTATATATACCTTCTATAAAATAGTATAACTAAGTTTTATGGATTGATGATAAATACTGAGTTAAAATTTGTAAATGGCCTTACATTCAACCATTCATACAGACGTTATAACTTAACTCTTAACTGATGATTCTTAGTAGAAAAGCATAATGTAAGAAAGAATTATTAAAGGAGTATCTCTAAAAGAAACATTTCTTTTAAAAGATAACAAAGTTCCAATACAGGCTTTCAACTCCAGGGGCGGGAGGAAACGGGGAATTTAGCAGTGCTCTATAATGCAACCACACAAAATTAGTTAATGTTGAAAAAAAATGCTTACCTCTGAGACAAATTTGGTAGTAAGACTGATAAAAATTAGTCAAAATAACTACCCTCTCTGATTCAATTTTGTTCATTTTCCATGTTTATACTCCTCACATCTCACGCTACAGGTATAATCATAAAGTAAGGAAGGAGACTAACCTTTACAAGGGCAGAGAGAAATTAATAAGGAATCTAATAAGCTATACATAGTTTTGGAATCTTCTTTTGAGATTGTCTTCAGTGGCCCAGGACATTAACAGTCACATTACTTTGTAGTTATTTTTAAAATTAAGAATATTCTCTCCCATTAAAAAATTGAGGGCCTATCTAAACCAGGCCCTATTCTAGGGCTGTCATAAGCCCCTGCTCTCTTTGAGCCATATTCTAGTGTGAGGAGAGAGACAAATAAATAGTAGCAATAATAAGCAAAATATGAAGCATGTTAGAAGGTGGTAAGTGCTATGGAGAAAAGGAAAGGTAGATCAGAGTATGAATAATTGGGAGAGCCAACTGAGGTGGGGTGAACAGGCTAGGCCTGTTGGAGGAATGGGGGGGCAGTTAGCCACCTAGTGTAGAATGTTCCAGCCACCCTGGAAGGGGCAGTTAGCCACCTAGTGTAGAATGTTCCAGGCAGACTCAACATCTGGAACAAAGGCCCAGGTGGTAACAGGTGGCGGGTGGTCTGGAACAGCAAGGAGCCTGGTGTAGCTGGAGGAGTCTAAGTCAGAGAGCTAAGGATGTGAGGACTCTGGCTCTTGTACAAAGCCCAATGGGGAAATTACTGCAGCGTTTGGGGCAAGGAGTGACCTGGTGTGACTTAGATTTGGAAGGTCTCTCTGTGGCTCCTGAGGTGAGAATAGACAATAGAGCAGGCAGAAGCAGAGCAGTGGGATGGACTGGGAGCCAATTGCCTTATTCCAGGGAAGAAATAATGTTGGCTCCAAGTGGGTGGTAGCAGTGATGGTGGTAAGAAGTGGTCAGATTCTGAATATTTCGAAGGGACACCCAACAGGATTTGCAGATGGACTGGATGAGGGATATGACCCAAAAAGAGGAATCAAGAACGGGTCCAAGGTTTTATCTCCAGCAACTGAAAGGCTGAGATTGCTATCATCTAAGAAGGGGCAGGGGTCTCTCTTTGCTACTGTTCTCTCTGCTTCATCTTATCCACACCCTTTCTTCACATTCATAATACTCTGGGACTTTCGAGTCTCATACTCTTGGAAAAAAAAAACTCAATTATGAGACTATTGTTTAACCTCATACTCTTTTCCCATTGACACAGTATATATAAACTTAACTGTCCCAGCTGAGTTCAGTTAATGGCAAAGATTTGATATTATTGAAGATATTTAAAATAACGTGCTGTGATCTCTGAAGTAAATTCCAAGGGTGTATTCCTGAAATATATAAATAGCAGCATGGAAAAATAAATATATAATTCCAGTAACCAATTCTGGATGTGCACTATGTTTATATAAAAGTTCAGGTTTGCTACCAATCACACAAATCATAGCCCTCACTGTCATGATGGGGGAAAGGTGTTTGGTATGCATATGTGTTCTCAGGCTGATGAAAACTTTCTGGACTAACAGTATTTTTAGTCGTACTCTGATGATCCTCATGACGATGTTCAAGAGAACAGGGGAGGAGATAAATCCTTAGCATATAGAAATAGATGTCAATAACCAACACCAATAACTCAAGAAATTATTTCGATCTTGTGTTACCTTTTTATGGTCAACATTAAGCAATATCAGTCGAAGATTCTGAGGACTAGTGCCAGTGAAGTAAATTTCATAATATTTGTTCAGCGCCACAATGCTATGAAACAGGGACAGCCTTCTCTGGCATGTGTATCCAGCACACCAGCCATGATCCTGTGGGCCTAAAGCCACATATATGAAAGTTCACATTCCATATTATGAATATTATTTAGCACAAAGTCTGAAGACTAACTGTATTAAAAATAAATTGCACAAACTGAGGGTTCTAGAGGGGAGGGGATGGGGGGATGGGTTAGCCTGGTGTTGGGTATTAAAGAGTGAACGTATTGAATGGAGCACTGGGTGTTATACGCAAACAGTGAATCATGGAACGCTACATCAAAAACTAATGATGTAATGTATGGTGATTAACATAACATAATAATAAAAAAAATTAAATTAAAAAATATAAATTGCAGGGTCAAGTTCAGCATTTGCATCCATTATCCATCCACCCATATATCCTTAGCTTAAAAAGAAGGCAGGGAAGCAACTCCTCCCTACGGCCCTTACTTTTATACTGTGTAGGGTAAAAAAGGTAAGTAAATGTGTTAAGTTTGCACTGGAAGGGTCCTTGAAGGAAATAGTAGGTTTATATGATTCTCTACTTCAACAATCCTATTTAAGCCCAGGCCCCATGCTAAGAAAGAAAATGCTTTGATCCCTTCTCCTACCTATCAAATGTGAGTTTAGGTGGGGAGCCAACTTTCTCAGACTCTTTAGTGAGAAATACGAGGTTACAGAGTTAATTTTTTAAAAACAGAGCCTGTACTTGGAAATGTGGACATTTGTATGGCTAAATCATGGATTCATTAATTTTTTCGCTCACTCATTTCTTCATCAGTTAATTTGTAAATTCAACAAACTCTTAAGTTTGCTTTTTATGAAGTCTTTAATCTTCCTCCATTGTTATTTTAATACCTTTTTGTTTAAGACTGTGATTATAGACACCACTGGAGGGTCAACATCATTAACGAGCTGAAGCAATCAGAGAAATAACACTCCAATAAACCCTCTAAAAAGCCAAAGACAGTTGATGCTTTTCTACCTGAATCCAGACATTTCCCCAGAACAGGCATAACATGACTGTTGTAGCAAATTTCTCTATTTCACTTCAGTTTTAAAGTGGCTGGGATTATAAAACACTGAGTGAGATATGGAATGATACATTTTCTTGATGTATTTATTCATTAGCTTTGCTCAATTTCCTGGCTTACCTGGAATTCTTACCAATATTTATAACTGAACTTCAATCAAATTTTAAATAAACATAAACTTCTGAAGCTCAAGTAGAATATCAACTTTCTCTTAGCATCCCAAATGTAAAATCTACTTTTAAATAAACCTTCTTTGTGCGTTTTGAAAACAGAAAGAAATTTCTACATATAAAATGAAAAATTTAGGGGCGCCTGTGTGGCTCAGTTGGTTAAGTGGCTGACTTCGGCTCGGGTCATGATCCCAGAGTCCTGGGATCGAGCCCCGCATCAGGCTCCCTGCTCAGCGGAGAGCCTGCTTCTCCCTCTGCCTCTGTCTGCCGCTCTGCCTACTTACGCTATTTCTGTTAAATAAATAAATAAATGAAATCTTTTAAAAAAAAATGAAAAATTTAGAGTAGCAAAGCCAGTTTTTAAAAATAATGAAATTGAGTATTAAAATTTTAAAGGAAACTTTAGTGGTATTCAATAACTTTTACCTTAGGAATTTTTTTTTTTAAGATTTTATTTATTTATTTGACAGAGAGAGACACAGCAAGAGCAGGAACACACACGGGGGGGGGGCGTGGGAGAGGGAGAAGCAGGCTTTCCGCGGAGCAGGGAGCCCGAGCCAGATGCGGGGCTCGATGAGGGGCTCAATCCCAGGACCCCGGGACCATGACCCGAGCCGAAGGCAGATGCTTAACGACTGAGCCACCCAAGCGCCCCATACATTAGGAATTTTTTTTCACAATCTAATGCAGTTGCATCTTATGCTTCAGTGATTCTTTCAACATCTTCATAATTTTTGCGATCCTATCGTTTACTTAAGACTTTTCTTTAAATTAACACTCTTAAAAATTTATTTTTAAGAGAAATGTCATGTCACTATTGTAAGTGGAAAGCTTGTATTGCTTTTCAGAAAAGAAAAATGTAAAAACAAATAGAATAAAATCTTTCTCCAGCATATAAAACAGAGCAATTTGAAAACATCTCCATTATTCACACTGACTGGTCTAAAGATCTCCCACAAGCTCTCTGCTTTGTAAGATCTGAAAGGCAGCACTTGAAACTGGGTTGACTGCAGGCCAGAGAAACCAGGCAAATTGCATGTTGCAGGCAACAGAAGTGAGGAGAGACTTGAAATCATGTAATTTTGGGACACCCCTGATTTAGCTCATTCTATTCTCTTTAAAACATTTTTTTTTGCATATCACCATTTCTTTGGATGTTCTTTAATTTCCCTGCTAACACATTTTATTTTATTTTTTTAATTTTTTTTGCCATTTTTTAAATTATGTTATGTTAATCACTATACATCATTAGTTTTTGATCCCTGCTAACACATTTTAAAAAATGAATATTTTTGTGAGGTACTGGCTATTTTGTTGAATCTCAGGATATTTTAGTCCATGTTTTGACACTGCCAGGGCACAGAAATCTTTCTGATCCAGGTTACATGACCCTTTAGCACTGGAAAAACTCTTTAGCCTTCTTAGGGACTTACCTTTGAGCCCCCCACACTATTTCAGGGTAAAACAGTAAGTCCCTGCCCTCTATTTTCTGCAGCTCTTAGAAGTTCATCTTATTTATTCAAAAAGTCCTGGACTCCTAAGTTGATCTGAATTCTCATGGAGACCACTGCCTTCGCTCTCTACTAGAGCCACCCATGGCCAGAATGTAAGGAGCCTAGACTCTGAAGCTTGCCAAGATGTTCTTGACAGTCAAAGGAATCAGGAATGAAAACAAACAAACAAACCCCAAAACACATTGATTCTAGAATAAGTCTTAGAAGGATTCATGAAAATAAAAACCGAGTAGGCTGAACAAACCTTCTCAAGTACTCCAAATAATACATTATCTGTGTTTTAATTTATGTAAGGCAAATTGTCTTTTTGGAGACAATCAGGCCAATTTTTCCTTAAAATATTTATGCCACCTAATTAATATAGGTATGAAAATCAGTCAAGGAATAACTCTCCTCTTCTTCTTCTAATGGTCAATTTGGAATAACTATCCTGGCTTTCTAATATGGGAATCTACTGAAGCATTAAACAGCCCTCCTGCACATAGATCTTTTCTTACAAACAGAAGGAAAAGCAGTCCTGATGTTTGCTAGTTTAATGTGATAAATAATTTGTGAGACGTCTCCATGCATGTAATAAATAGTAAATGCTTTGAGTAACTACTAGCTTGTTTACACTGAACACATACCATTAATGAGATCAACATAACCATTGCTCACTACAGCCACCGGTGAGAGTCTTCGAGTTTCTGTGTCAGAATCCAGGCTTTCAATAACCATCATTGCATACTCCATCCCAAAACACCGATAGCTCTGCCATTGTGGAATGTATTTACAGGTTGAATCTCTAATAATTCCTAGAAACAGGTATATACATCTTAGAAAGGAAAAGCAATCTCTCCAAAAACATCCATGTACTTTTTCTTTTATGTAAGATTAGTAAGTAGAAAATATGTTATTGGTTGATTACCCCAATTACTAAAAATAAAAGATATATTTTGTTTCACAAACTTGAGGACTGACAGGAGAATATCCAACTAACCTTTGTAAGGTGCTTTCTCAGTGACAGGAATTCTACTTCCATTTGGGAATGTGAGCATCACCTTAGGAATCCTGTAGTCTCCAATTCCAAATTGACTATTTCCATTCCACTCATATTCTGCTTGAGGTATCACTGAACCAGAATTTCCCAGAAAAGAGCCGTCCATATCTCTAAGAAAAGATTTCCTTTTGGCATCACAAACCATGTCTACACAATCAGCTGGATTCACCTTACTGTGGAGAAAAGGCAAAACACATGAATATTTATATTTAGTATCCTTCCCCTGTTTCTAGAGAGCTGAATTTCAGTTGGGTGTTTGATAAGAGAGTATCCAAAGTTTTTTTGATTGATTGAATCTTATCATTTCAGAAAGGATTAAAGATGGGACCAAGTCACATATGTAATTAGTATTGAAATAAGGTCTGATTTTCCATTCTGTTGGTTTGTTATTATTATTAATTCATTAACATTTCAAAAGGACAAGTTATACCTGTGAGATATAAAATTAGAGTTCCATTTTGTTATTCCATATTTTGTTAAATGATAGATTTCAACCTTGTGCATCGCTCACAGTATACCAACATTGCCCCATTGAGCAGGCCAACAGTTAGTCTGTTGTGTCGGACATACAAAATCCCTGTGTTGGAAGTCTCTCCCTTCCTTTTTTCACGGGTCTTTAAAATTTATAAAAGTATTGTATGCTTACCATAAAATAATTTAAATACTTAAAGTTCAGTCCCCTTATCTCAAGCTTTTAGGTCATCATCAATTGCACATTATGTGTATAATATTATATAGATTTTGTTTATGTATATACAAACAGATATACTTGGATTATTATTGCTATGTTACATATTTTAGTAACTATTCTGTAAATACCCAAACTGTAAGAGATGAAATACTATATACTTATCATGTAGTTCAACCATAGATAGCATTCCACCTTCATCTTGAGCTACCTAGAGTGTTGATTGTTAACTGGTAATAATAATAAAATAGATGCTTAATTTGCAATATACTGCACATTACATAGTATACAGTATAGTTATACTATGTCATGATATATACTATGGGGAAATATAACTTATTCCGAAGTTATAACAACAAAATAATAGTGGAAAGCTCAGAACTATTAGGTAGTGTTTAACATCTCTTTCCCTTTTTGCTGTAAGAGAAACATGAAGGGGTAAGTTGCCCTTTACTGTACAATAATAGCTTTGGAGATGACTTGAATAAATATTTCTGTAGCTCATGGGTTCTTTGTGTTCAAGTATGTGAAGATGCTACTGTGAGCAAGTCTGTAGGTAGAGTACCCAGTGGCACTTTTATATTATGACTTAGAGCTCTATCTTTACTTCATGTTACAAAGAAACAGAGCCTAAAATGTAGATTTTTGTTCAAGTGATTTATTGAAGGAATTCTCTCAAAAAAGAAGGAGAGAAGCCACATAGGACGAAGGAAAGAAAACGAGATTTCTATGGTCTGTGGACTGGCTTCATTCTGATCCCAAGGGTACCTCTGGATCATCAATTGCACCCGGGGTTGCTCCCACCTTGAGACAAGGGGGTTGGCTTTTTGTACTCCTGTATAAACCAGTCATTTTGCATGGATTGAAAGGAGGTGGTGTTAGGGAAGGTTTTAGCACCCCAAGGCTATTCCTGTTCAGCTAAGAGCAATTTTCTGGAAAAGAGGGCAACTGTAGGTTATTATTGGCCAACATTTACATCACTGGGGGACTGGGTGAACTGTCTTGTAAAAGGGATCTGGGAAAATGCCAATAGCATCTTAACAAAAGCACAGAGCCAAAGACATTATATTTTAAAATGTGGTATTTTCTGGGGCACCTGGGTAGCTCAGTCGGTTAAGCATCCAACTCTTGATTTCGGCTCAGGTCATGCTCTCAGGGCTGTAAGATCGAGCCCCACATGGGGCTCTGCGCTGACCATGGGGCCTGCTTAAGATTCTCTCTTGCCCTCTCCCTCTGCCCCTCTCCCTTCCCGCTTGCGTGCTCTCTCTCTCAAAAAAAGTAGTATTTTCTTCATGACCTAGGTATTAGAATTATATATTACATCTGAAAGATTCAATGATAATTAAACAGAAGCTAATAATATTCTAGTGAGGACAGGCTCTATTGAGCCCAAAATTACTGCAGTTCAGTAATTCCTAGATGAGGAGATGTGCAGTTGTCACCAAAACAAAATCAGATGAAGTGAAACTATTTATGAAACACTGCATTTGTCTGAAGAGATGTCTATCTAATGAGACAGCATTATTCCTTGTCTTCTTCCTATGCTGAAAATGGTCAAAGATCTCTCATAAAAAATTTCTTTCCTACAATCTTGTCTTACATCTGAATTCCTGGTCTGCTTCTCTTAGAAAAGTGTAGCAGTTACTGACTATCTTCTTTTAAGATTTAGGGTCTAAGTGGCTCAGTTTCTATAAATATTCTGACTCCAACTGACTTTTGTGATTGAAAAGTCACTCTTCTGCGTTTCTGCATCTTCTCAGTCACAGTGATTATAATGATTGATGTTAAATTTCAAAGTGCATTTTGGGGTGAACATGGTAAGATATTTGGAAAGCAACTGGAAACAAAAGAAGTAAGGCAAAGGGCAGAAATGATAGAGATGTCTCTCATTGCTAATGACCATTAGTGGAGAGATACTAATGTACAACACACTTCTAACTTGGTCTCTTTTCTTTTATGATGGGATGCATGGAAAAAAAGGTATGAGAAAATATACATATTAAAGACTAGCTTCTTCAATTTAACTGAAAACACAAATGCATTAAATATTCTTAATTTTCATGATCCTGATTAAAATTTTATAGAAATTAATAGTTACTTTAATATAACAACTTTCTCAGATCTATGGCAGGGAAAAAAGACAATGGAAAGCTATAAATACAGGAAAGAAAAAAACGGACTTTGATACATTGTACCTTATATCAGGCCTATGTATGAATATTTTTGATTGTTCAGTAGTATCAACCAGCTGTATGTTCTTCACATGGATTGGATGCTGTAAGTCTTCATTTAAAGGGTTAGTAATGAATATCACATTAGTTTCACCTGAACAAACATTCTTAAATCCAACAAATGTTGAACCTAAAACATAAATAACAGAAAAATAATTATTTTCTAAGGAGAAAGTGATAAAATCAGTTTCATTTTATGTACATTCCAGCAAACGCATCATATAACACCACTCTGAACATGGAGCTCTTAGCTTATGTGGTAGATAGTCCACCACTATTTGTGTTAGATTGTTGCCTCCCTATATTAATACCATTGAATAGTCTTCTCATATTTTCTCTGAGCTTAGTTATGTGATTGGCTTTGACCAATGGGACAAGAGCAATTGTGATATAAGTAGATCTGAAAAGTGCTTGCATATTAGGGCTCACTCTCTTTTGGTGCTTTTGGGGAATTCTGTGACTTCTAGCATGTGAATAACCTTAGGAGACATATGGCCCAATCACCCCCATTACTCCAGCTAATGGCCAACCCAACGATTGGCAAGTACCAACCACCAGACATGGAAGTGAGATTACCTAGACCAACTAGCCCCTATCCATCCTGTAAACTGTGGGCAGCCTAAGGAATAATCCCAGGTGAGACCAGCAGAAGAACTATCCAAATGAACAAAGCCCAAATTGTCAATCCACAGAATCATGAACTAATAAATGGTTGTTTAAAGACTCTAAATTTTGGAGGTATTTTGTTACACAGCAAAGACTAATTGAAACATGGTTCTTTTGGCCTTATTGCATATATTGTATGACCAGAAGATAAAGTTTATTGAATTCAAACTTAATTTCCATTGTACTTAAAATCCAATAGCTCAAAAATAGAAAAAAAGGAAAAGGTAACTCCAAAATTCTTAAATCAGTTATGTACTACTACTATTCTTCCTGATGATATTTTTTCCTAAGATGATATTATATATACATGAATATGAGCTTGTAGATGAATACTAATAAAATACCATAGTAGCAGACACTGTTTGTAACCTGTACAGATCTGCTTTACTGGCCCAGTGCACTTGTCCTTAGCTCCTATAAGTATTGGCTGCCAACTACTCACACCTGCCCCTTTCTCCAGAGAACTGCCCTTGACCAGATGACAACTCCCTCTCCTAAGAGATTATGCACTCCTTAATACCACCACCAAAGGGCTATCATGTCTAATTGGCAACTGATACAGAAGGTCCCCTTGCCTCAAGAGGGGGAAATTAAACTACACAGCCCCCTAAGGTATCAGGAAGGAGCTAGACTCCAGCTGAGACCATATCCTTGCTTAGCTCTGCCCTATCCTACTTCCCTCATTCCCTTTCTTGTGAAAACACACCTTTAATAAACCACTTGCACAAGAATCCCATCTCTGGCTTTACTTTTAGAACACCTGATTTAGACAGTGAGTACCAGAAGTGGTCCTAGGATACACACTGTAATGATGCAATAATGAATTTAGCTCACTTGCTGTCTGGATGGGAAAGAGGATGCCCTTACTGGTGGCAGGTGGAGTACTGATAGTCCCTAGAATGCTCTAACAGTGCAACTGTTAAGATTTCACTCGTGGTGAACTGGGATAATAGCTAGGTGGAAGGAAATGCTCTGGCTTATACAGTAACTTTGGCATTGGAGTGGTAAAGGGGAAACAGTGGTTACAAGGAAACTAGAAGTAGGTGACTGTTGACCATCACTGGTGCTTTGAAGAAAAAAACTGTAAGCTGTGGTAATCAATCACAAATTCAAGGCAAACCTCAGGATCTGATCACAAAACCAGCACAGCATTCATAGAAGGTTGAATTCTTAGTCCTGGCAAGTTTCCTACATCAAAGACAGGGCTCTAATAGAAAAGAAATGGAACTCTGAGTTAGGATGGGAATATAAGGAAGATGAACTTGAGCCTTGAAACCCTGGGTTCCCCTTGAATGTTCCAGATCTGTATAAGTGGTCTGCTTTTCCCTTATTAGAGGATAGCTCCCTGCCCCATTTGTTGAAATCATGACAAGACCTCAGAAGAAAAGGCAAATCTTGCCTTTCTCAGGTCCTGTCCCCAACTCCCCTTCTGGCAAACAGAGCAGTAAGTCTGGTCAAGTCTCAACATTGTCTGACTGTGGCAGTGCTAAGCCTGCTATGGGATGAGAGGAATTACAGACCAAAGGAACTGCAGGAACTGAGTAACATGTACTGGCAGGAATCAGGAGTATATATATCTGAGAGTAAATTGTGATGATGTTAGATCAAGGGGGAAAGAATATAAAGCTAGATAAGGGAGAGTGTCACTATGGATTGGGGTATTCTCCCATGCTGCTGTCATGGCTTTTCTAAGTTTAGAAAATGTCATGTTCCACTTTAAATGAAGTGGATGATAAGAAACGGCAAACTGTAGGAGAAGGGGTCAAAAGTCTCTGAAAAATGAAATATTGGAATGAGTCTATTATATAAGGCCAGTGCATTTCAGCCCCACCTGGGGATGGCCTTGAAAGAGTGTGGCGTGGGCAGATTCTACTATGGGATAGAAATTTGGGTAGTACCCAGGCTGACCCACTTTGTGTGAAGAGAGAAGTGGTGTGAGGTAAGGATAAACATAAAAAATGACTTAGCTAATTAGTCAGGGGCCTGGAAGGAACAAGACTGGATGACTGGGTAAAATGAAGCCTGAGGGAAAAGCATGTGCATGGGTCTCTGGGAGTAAGCACAGAGGGCGTGTTAGTGATCACCAAAGTGTATCAACTATGGAAGAAGCACTAAAGAAATAAATGAACAGGATGATAGAGCCAATAGATGTTACTAAGCTCTTAGGTTATATGAGTTTAAATTTCTTCAGTTGTAAAAAGAGATAATAATATATAACCCTACTTATATAAAAGGGTTTTTACAATTCATAGAAATGAACATTAAATCACTATATCAGTGTTTCCTCTGTTGTTTTAGAAGGAAAAATTAAATGTCACTTCTTTAACATATACAAATTTTGCCAGGGAACCATTCTTGAAATTGACTGATGTCTAATTTCTTGGCTTCTCACACTGAGCAGATTCATATATAAATTCATTTAAGTCATTATTTTTTTTTTTTTACTAATAGTGAAACATTATTAGACATATTCTACATATTCTTTATAGAACTTAATGGAGTAGATTTGTCAAGACTATGTTTAAACTTGCCTGAGATATCCAGAAGGCCACTAATGGCATTGTAGCTCATGAGCCCTGCATGGGGCTTCCGGGGTGCCATGTTATGTGCTGAAGCAAAGGTAGGCCAGCAAATCCCACTTCTCCCACCTTTTACGAAAGAAAGAAACTTAATAAGATTCAAATATGCACCCACATGAACACCAAAATTGAACTTCTAAAATTCTCACCTGATGGAGGTCTAGCACTCCGATGGGCAGCAGAAAGTTCAATATTGGGATCATCATTAGTTAGGACATCAGAGCAATTAAATCCAGGGCTACTTCCAACAATTAATGCACTCTATTTAAAAAAAATTCAAACAGTACAGCTTAAATAATAGCTTTTCCTCAGGAAAAATATGATAATGGATAATACTGAATTCCACCATAGCAAAACACAACCATGAAGTTTGAGGAAGGGATCATTCAAAAAGCCAAGATGAAAAGGATATGACTTTATGCCCTGAGTGGAATGACAGTCAAACTGGGAAGGGGAAGACAGGTGGGTAAATTATTATAATGACATGTTACGTTTCTGTGATAGAAATATGCCCAGGGAAGAGCAAGAACAAAAAGAGGAGAGAGTATCAATACCATCTAAGCTAGTTCAGGAAAGGTGTCATAGAGGGAAGGAAAATTTCACTAACTGTGGCAAGATTAGCAGGTGGTACGCAAGAAGAGGTGAGGGGAGCAGGGAGGAGAGGGAAAGATAGAGCACTTCCTGGAGGAAGACAATATGAACAAAGACAAGGAGGTTTGGACTTGCTGGGCTTAGAGGTCAAGGAGATCATTCTTATCGGAACTTCAGTAATTTTACCCTTTCTCCTTATTGTGGCTGTATTCATTTCTTACCTTAATCTGCACTGTTTTACTGGAAATCTTGTGAGATACAGCAGCTGGCATGTAAATCATTGAAGAAATGGCCATCCCATTGTCAACCAGAGTCACATTATAGATATGCACACTCTCTGTGGTCTGTAAAACAACTTGTAGTTTACATAGTAAAAAATACAATCATAAAACAAGATAAATAATCACCACCCTGGATCACATTTACCTGAAAATAAATTCCATAATCCCAGCATGTCCAAATGGTAAATCCCTGTATAAGAGAACACCCAGGAAGGCCATCTTGGTTCATATAAATACCATACAAACCTCCATGGGCTTCATTGTCAAACCACTTTTCCATGGGATTAGACTGACCTTGTAAAGAAATATGAAAACAGAGAATTAACATTATAAGTCATGTCCTAGAGCTTTATAAGAAGTATGATAAAGTTAAAATTTTTTAAATTAAATGTATAAATCTTATGTAAATTTTAACATGAAAATTAAATATTGTTATGGCTTACTCTACTCAGGATTTAATCTTACCTGATTTGTCCCTTCACCATTAGTATGACTGCAAAAGTTTGGTTTAGTTGTTAGCACATTTAACTTACTATCTCTCATTAAACACGAATTTCATGAGAAAGTGCACAGTGTTTGGATTCAAAGAAGGCTAACCCTGAAACACAATGATACTGCTTGCTGTTTATAAAATGCTTCCCCTGCACACCTTTTTGTTGGTGGTGCCTCCGGTCATCTCATTTTCAAGTTAGGTGTCACCCCCTTACAAGGCCTTCTCTGACTACCTGATTCAAAGTAGCACCTCAGTTCCTTCACAAGGCCACTAACATTATTTTCACTTGAAATTTTATTATTACTTATTCATGAATTATCCATCTCCTCTCTCCTATTAGAAATGTAAACTTCATGAGAGAGGACACGGTGTTTATCTCATTCACCACCATATTCCTAGGGCCTAGAAGGTCATGCAGAGATAGGTGTTCATTTAACTATCTGTTGAATTGATGTATGTATGACCTTGGAACATTGTTTAACCTTTAAGACCTCAGTTTCCTCAAATATAAAAAGTTTTAATACCTAATTTAGAGTAGTCTCAGAATGAAATGAAATAACCCACATAAAGTGCCTCAATAAACGGAAGCTATACTCATTATTAATATATAGGAAACCTGAAGTAGATTTTTTATGAAACTTTACTTACGTACAAAACAGATCAGCAATCTTAATAATTCCCTCCTAACCATGCACATATTGGAGGCTTCTCTATAAAGAGCAGCATCACCCCCTACAGGTTACTTAGTACCAGCTCTCTTGACCAAGTCTCCTGGTATCTGAATTCCTCCTATCCTCTATTGATTTTCCTTTCTTCCTAATACTTTGGGGTTGAAATTTTACTTGTCAACTGCCTGGATTCTGTTTTGTTTTCTCCATAAGAAGCTGTTCACATGTCTCTCCCTTGGTTCCATATAGTGTTGCCCCTGGGACCCAGTGTGAGTCATGGTTCCCTTCCCAGCCTCCCAGACTCCGGCTCCCAGTCTCTCACTTGCCTGGGAGGTTCACTAGATAGGCTGGTGTCCCCGTTCCAGGAACTTAAACCCTCAATTCCTCAGTGATGTCTCTTATTTCAATTTCTCTAAATCCCAAACTTCCTTGTAAACACTCTCAATTATTTAGGAATATCAATATAGTCAGTGAAATATACATATTAGTAAATATTCATATTCATGGATCATATTTTGACTTGAAAAAATCCAGGACAACACTTCAAAGAAGTTGCAGAGAAATGACATATTTTAAAATTTTAGTCAAAGAAAACTTTTAAGCTGTTGAGAACTAAAATATTTAATAACAGTATATATCAAGGAATCAATTAAATTTGTTGGCAGTTGTTTTATTCCTTCAAAATGTATTTACACAAGAATAAAATTAGCTTAAGCCCAATAATTTTTGAGTTTCCAGAAAAATGCTGATTTACAAAATGCTGATTCAAAGAATCTTAAAAATAACTACACCGAGATAAAAAAAAAATCAGCTGTACAAGGGATATAAAGTTTTCAGAGAAAACCCCATTTCCTCTGAGTTTCTCAAGAGGTAAAGTCTGCAGCTCTATTACTTATTTTATTTTGATCCGATAATTCATTTACTTAGTTGGAAAACCAAGAGGTTATAAAAAGTTATACAATATTAAGTCACCAGTCACCCTGTTACTACTCACCTGTTTTGGTTTTTTTGCTTTTATACTTTGTGTCGCTTTATGTAAACACAAATAACCATATATACTCCTATTTTCTTTCCTTTCTTCCACAAAACATACCATAAACAAAACAGTATATATAGAGAGAGAGTTGTATATAGAGTTATATATAGTTGTATATTGTTTTATATATATATATTCTGCAATCTCCATTTATCACTTAAGAATATCCTGCAAATTTCTTTCTCCATATCAATACATTGATACGTATCTTCTTCCCTCATTTTGAGAGGGGCCTAGTGTTCCAATATCTGGCTTTATATAACTAGTCCACTGTATTGGACACAAGGCAGCTTGCAGTTTCCTGCTAGCACACACAATGTTGTGATGAGTCACCTTGTTCACAAATCATTTTGTAAGTGTTACAGAGGCAAATATTACTTAGATTGCCAGAAGTGGAAATGTTAAGGCAAAAGCAAATGCTCCTATAATTTTGGCAGCTATTGCCCTGTTCCGCTCTGTAGGGTTTATATTGTTTTGTCATTCAATCAGCCAGAACATTACACAATGTTCTAGTTTCCCTAGACTTGCCAAAAGAGTAGTTGTTCAGTTAATTTTTGAGTTTTACTCCTCTAATAGAAATATAGCTGAGAACTATCTGTTCATGTCCTTTGGCTTATTCCATGCTTGCAAGTTTAAATGCACAAATAGTGAGCATTTATTCCTGTCAAGAGGAAACACGCAACAGTGTCATATCCCTGTAAACATGTATCTCTAAAGTGTTGCTTTTATGAAAGTGGTAGTGGGATGAGGTACTCACTGTTCCAACACCAGCTGCATCAAGAACTGAAGTGGCTGCTAGAGTTTTTGGATCATAAACATGTAAAATTATCTTTAAAAGCCTATTCAGGGGCGCCTGGGTGGCTCAGTTGGTTAAGCGTCTGCCGTCAGCTCAGGTCATGATCCCAAGTCCTGGCTCAGTGGGGAGTCTGCTTCTCCTTCTGCCCCTCCCCCTACCACCCCCTTCTCCCGCCCCACTTGTGCTCTTCCCCACCTCTCAAATAAATAAATAAATAAATAAATTCTTTATTTTTTTAATAAATAAAATCTTTTTAAAAAAAGCCTATTCATTTTTTTTTCATAGACTCAATGCTTGTTGAGTTCTTTCAGTACCCTGGAGGAGGAGATATTACATATTGAACTAACAAACCATAATTATTTCTAACAAATTTGGACAAGGTATTTCTTAGTTTTAGTGACTCTGTGCCGAAAGACTTACTTGAGCAAGGTTCACCATCAATGCGGTATCCCACCCTTCCAAATCCAGCCACGACGTTATTTTGTAAGACTGTATTGGTCCCTCTGTTTATCTAGTACAGTGAGAAGGGAAAGGCTATGGGTCAGGCTCTTACACAATGGTACAGGGAGAGCAAGTCTGCGACACATATAGGAAAACTAATTATGACTACCCTGTAGGAGGAAAAATTAATTTCATTTTTCAACCCATTCACATTTACATTACAAATGAAGTATTGAAATTACCTTAAGTTCTTGGTGTAAAATCATCACTAGACACTCTATGCCTTAGATTTCATTAGAAAACAGCATTAAAGAGATTTTTTTTTTACTTCAGTCACAAAATCCCCTGGGTTTCATTCAAAATTATAAGCCATAGACCAAATTCCAATATTAGAGCAAGGTTAGTAGGATTTTATCACTCTTTGGTTATATTACATTACCACTTTGATTTATTAAGAGAAAACTAAGGCAATTATAGTGGATCATAAGACTCAGTAGAAGCACTTACTAGTTTAAATAAAATCTGCTATATTAAAAACAGGTTGAACACAAGTGCTAGGTAGTCACTAAACAATTTTACTTTACGAGCCCAGTCAAGGGGGCAAAAAAATGAAAAGTATAGAGCAAAGAAGATTTAATTCTTGCCTCTGGTGTCAGCAAAACAGTCAAAATCTCAACTATTTAAAGTATTAAGCACATTTATTTATTTATTTATTTATTTTTTAACAGCAACCTTGCCAGCATTTTATTTTACCATTCTTTAAAAATTTAACATGTTCTTCACTAAGTAACATCCAGATTAACCTTAATTTGCCTCTCCTAGGTGACAAGTGAGGCTGGACATTATTTGTATTTTCTGGACATGTTATTTGCTCACAGACTGAGAGACAATTTATTACATTTATTGACCCCCACAGGACAAAGGAAGAGATGTTTCTGAACCTGGGGCCTGACTGGTTCCTGCTCCTTGTGCAGGGCCACGTGCATCCCAGCACCACCCTGCTGGGGTTGAAATTGCTACTACACTTTTTGGCAAGCCCCTCCCTCTGCAGGAAATTTAAAGATGGCCTGTGTGTGGGATCCTGGGTGGAGTGTAGCTCTGAGGGTAAGCACCTTTATTTTGATATATTATGATAAGAGAACAGAGTTAAATGAAATTCATAAAAGTAAAGTCAGTTCCTTTTCTTTCAAAAGATACAGAAAACTTTAAAGATTTGGAATTGACATTGGATTACATTCTCACATCTATAAATAGGATGAAAAGAGAACATTCTCATAAATGTATACCAAGTTCCAGGCCTTCAGGTTTTACTTTAAGGTGATTATTACTAGTTGCACGAAAACAAACCTCACTCCTTATCCCATCTTCCCAAAGAGCTATTTTTTAAATTTCTTTTGGCTCTTATGGCATAGGAAGTAGAAAAAAAACAAGATGGAGCCTTATGTCCTCTAAACCTTTTTTCTGTACTTTCTGTTTGCTTGCCTGCAATCTCATCCTACACCTGATGGCCTACAGTGATTGAAGAAACTTCATGGGGACCAAGAAGGGTCCAATTAGTAATACTAGATAAGAATAAATAACCTCACATAATCATAAGAATTTTAGATGAGAAAGGAACTTTAGAGATTCTGTAGTCTATGAATTCTAATTTTCCGTATGATGAAGGAAACTAAATTCAGAGTTAAGTAGTAATATGTGCAAGGCACTCAGTCAATGAGCAGCAGAAGACCCTGTACCAGGACTTGGAAGTGATAATTAATGCTGGAGAAGCAAGGAAGTAAGAGAATTATTTAAACCACTGGACATCAACACAAAGAAAAATTCAATGGCTGTGGGAGCTCACATCTCTCAAGAAAATTTATTCACTCCTTTCATTAGCTCATTTTATTAATTCATCAATCTTTATCTACAGAGGAAACAGTTTTCAATAATATTTTAAGACAGTTTCTACAGAATTTATAATCTGTGGTATATAATCTGTAAAGAAATTACAAATCATAATTTAGGATACTCTTGTAAAGTTATGTCATTATTTTATATAATTATAAATCACCCTACCTCAATTGCTGCATGCCAGAGAGTTGAACTTAAATCTTTTCTGTTTTGGTAGGTTCCTGGCCAAACTGAAAGTGCAACCAAGTTTCCTCGAACTCTGTTGGCATCCCCCCATATTCTTATACCTGCAAAAAAATGAATAAAATCCCCCCAAATACATACAGATTTGTAATGAGTACTATGGGGAATGTCTTTCACGTTTCCATGAAATTAGTTTTTCTAGTTCGAGCCTGACTAATCAATCTCTTAAATTTTAGAGTATGCCCTTTGAACTCTACCTCTTTAATAATCTAACTGCTTTAGACTCTTCTGGGGTACCTGTTAAATATGTGGGTTCCACATATGAGGATCCACCTCAGATTTTAACAAACACCAATTCTGTATACATTAAATGAGTTTGTTTTAGGGGCACCTGGGTGGCTCAGTTGGTTAAGCAACTGCCTTCGGCTCAGGTCACGATCCTGGAATCCCTGGATCGAGTCCCGCATCGGGCTCCCTGCTCGGCGGGGAGTCTCCTTCTCCCTCTGACCCTTCCCCCTCTCATGTGCTCTCTCTCATTCTCTCTCTCTCAAATAAATAAATAAAATCTTTAAAAAAAAATGAGTTTGTTTTATGCTTCATACAGATATTCAAGAAAGGATTACCTCCTAAAATCAAGCCCAATTTTTATAAAATAGTAACATTTATTTCTGAGTAATCTTTTTGACTGATAGGTGAGGAGCATTTTAAATGTCATAGTAAAAAAGTCATAGTAATTTAAACTATTGATGATTAGATAATTCACACAAGATCATGGTCTGGTAAATAACTCTTCTAGAGTTGTACTATCCGATATGATAGCCATAGCCACATGTAACTACTTAAACGTAAATTAAATACAATTAAAATGAAAAATCCAGTTCTTCAATCATAGTAGCAACATTTTAAGTATTCGTTGGCTGCACGTGGTTTAGTAATTACCATACTAGCACAGATAGAGGCCATTTCCATTCTCTGAAAAAGATCAATTGGACGGCATGGCTCGAGTGTTTTCAGATAAGATTGTCTCAGAAAGCATATTATTTGGACAAAAATATTATCATACTACCTTCCCCCACTGTAAAGTGAATGACGTTGTCATCTATGTCCAATCCATCTGTCCCAAACACACCAATCGCTGGGGAAAAGCCATTGTGAAAGGCACAGCCTCGAATATAGGATGAGCCACGTTCTTGAATCTATAAAACATCAGGATTCAGTGAATGTTTTAAAATAAAATTAAAATACATTTAAAGAAAAAATTTGAAGTAGGTGATTTTCAGGAAACAAATCTTGATAAATAAAATACTCAATTCACATTCCATGAAAGAAGATGATTTCCCTGTAGATCTTTTAATCCTGGGAAATTTCCATATCTTCAATTTATGATTAAATAAAGCAAAATGCAGATTTAAATGCAGATAAAAAATTCTGAAGTACTTTTCTATGCATTTGTATTTCTATCATTACCTATAAAACACTATGGAGCTAAAAATTATTTTTCAGAATAGTTTATTATACGATGAGCAGGGACTTTTTTTAATTACAAAAGTTGATACTCTAGGCAGGGGGTTACAATTCAAAGGTCTGTAGGAACCAGCCAACGAGTAAGTAAGTAAGCAACGAGTAAGTAAGCCAACCTCAAACCTACAAGATTATTTTTTATTTTCATAAAAAATATGTTCTCTCTCATTTGTTCTTCAATCACCAGCCTTCTAAGCACATCTCTTTTCCCACTTTTGACAGAAGCATGGATATACAGACATGCTTTTCATTTGAGAAATGTAAGCAACTCACTTTGTTCAATAGAAACTATTTGTAAATAGTTTTGATCACTGCAAAATAAAGTGGAGTTATGAAATAATATCATAGATCTTTAATTCTTTTCATCTCTGTGCTCCTTTTTGTTTGCCTGTTTTTTTTACTGACTTAAAATAAATGTGTGAAATGGGTAAATCAGATGCTGCTATGAGTCTAAAAAAGTTGATGGAAAATGTATCTAAGAAAGTTATATTAGATCATCACCTTAGCAATTCTAAGATATGACTTTTTAGTAAACTTAAATAAAAATAAAATCAGGGGCGCCTGGGTGGCTCAGTCGTTAAGCGTCTGCCTTCGGCTCGGGTTGTGGTCCCAGGGTCCTGGGATTGAGCCCCACATCGGGCTCCCTGCTCTGCGGGAAGCCTGCTTCTCCCTCTCCCTCAGCCCCTCTCCCAGCTCATTCTCACTCTCTCTCTGTCAAATAAATAAAATATTTTTTAAAAAAAATAAAAAAATAAAAATAAATAAAAATAAAAATATTTTATTTTGAATATATGAGAAAATTGAAGTACAAACCTGTCCTAAGTTAAGAAATGTTACGGCGTATCTTGGATCCATGCTATCCCTGAAGCCTTCTTGACCACTGTGATAAAATTCCACGTTACTTATCCTTGCATTTCCTGGCAGGGCAGGAAGGGAAGAGTGAAAATATTTTTTTCTTGAAACAGAATAAAAATCTTTGAAAAGCTACACGAGTTGTAATTTTCCAAATTGCAAATTTGCTTTCAACTTTTTCACGGAAATCTCATTCATTTTTCTTTGCTCCTTTAATCCAAATCAGGCAGTGTTTCTGAATTTTTTTTCACTGCCCCCCACGAGAGTCTTTTTAGACTTTTTCTTTCCTAATAGCCTCCCCTCCCCATGGAATTTAATACCTCAGATATACTATATATCTGTTAATGTACGGTGGCTCTTTGGAGGGCCACAAACTATTGCTCATCTAAATTTTCCTGTCCTGGGGCACCTGGCTGGCTCAGTTGGTTGAGCATCTGCCTCCGGCTCAGGTCCTGGGATGGAGCCTGCTTCGGGCTCTTGGCTCAACAGGGAGTCTGCTTCTCCCTCTCTCTCTGCCCCTCCCCCTTCTCATGCACATGTGCACTCGCACTTTCTCTCTCTCTCTCTTGCTCATTCTCTCTCTCAAATAAATAAATCTTTTTAAAAATTACATTTTTTGTCCTGCAAGAATAAGTTTTCATCCCCTTGGTAGTGATACTCTTCCTGTTGAGAACGCATGACATAAAGCACAAGATATAATCTACCTGACAGTTCAGTTTTGACGATCTAAAGAGATTTGAAGGGCATTATCTTTACATAATCCTTTCCAGAATATGCATTACCAAGTATCTGCTCATCAGTGTGTCATAAGTACCACTGAGGTGACAAGAAGCAATTTCACAGATTAGTAATAATAGCAACAGCAATCCATGAGAGAGTACTCTGTGCCAAGTGCTGCACTAAGTGCTTAAAAGGCAATTTGTGGTTTAATTCTCATACAACGTCCTCTGAGTTAGGAAATTTTACTATTCTTATATTTGATATAAGAAAATGGAGGCACAGAGATTCATGGCTGGTAAAAAACAGCAGGGGCTATTCCTTGTTTCAAAAACTGATATTTAATAAAATGCATTAGAGAAGAGTTGCTTTGTATTAGAAGGGAAAAGCCTGTCTCAAAATCCATGAGCCAGCAATTGGATATACGGTGGAAAATATAATAATAATATCATACAGAGAAAAAATAGTTACTACAGACCATCTGGCCTACAAAAGCCATAGATGTTTACTAACATCACAAAACAATTTACAGAAGCAAGGAAAGGTTGTCATGGGAACAAGTCCATCATGGGATTTGAAGTGGATTAGTCTCCAAGGTGTGGATTAGTATCCAAGGTCAGAGCAATTTGATTCATCTAATAATCTATTTATCTATCTTTAAAATGCAGAGCACTATGAAGATTAAATGAGATAATATGTGTTAAATGCTTGGTATAGTGCCTGGAATATCAGGATCATCATTACTGTTATCATCATTAGTTAAGCTCCTGTTGACAAATTATGACCAATAGGTAGAAGCTATAGTGAGATGGCTGCTTGCTCAATATAAAGGTTTTCTGAAAATAGAGCTGTTGCAAAATGCAATAGGCAGAATTATGAACGAGGACCTGCTAAAACATTCAAGTCAAGAATAAACGACTGGCCTCTGGTACCCAGATTGTGGGATCCAAACACCAGTTTCCAATAAAAAGAACCAGCATTACTTGGAGGGATGACTTATTTCCAGGCTCAGAAAAACAAAACAAAAAAACAAAAAAACATGTGTCTGTCATATCAGAAAGTGAAGAAGCTAATGAAACTTAAGTCAAAAGGACAGAGGCATCAACATGAAAATGTTCTGAAGGTCAGTGGTGGGGCATTTTCATTTGTGAATGGCAATTGGGCATTTCCAATATCAATAAGATTAACAATCACAATCCATATATGGATTAGACCATACAGTATGTTTAAATCCATAGAGCTTATAATGACGCTAATAACAAACAAAAAATAAAAATGCCTGTCACTTTTGGAGAATGACTGGGAATCAACTCACTATTTCAAAAACTAGCTAATAATAGGAAAGAATCAAGCATTTTCCCTACATTTCCTATATAAAATATTTCTCAGGGTAACCAAATAGTTGACTGGGGAAGCTTCTCTTTACAGAAATATTCTAGATTATAAATTAGGAGGGAATTGTAGAATTAAAATATCACCATTTTAAACCTCCATAATTTAATAGATCCAGGCAATGATCATTAATGGCTGCTAACTTCACAAACGGAGACATAATCAAACATTGTGTCTACTAATGGAAAAATATACCATCAACTATGAAGAAGTCTTGCCTAAAAATGGAGTTTGAGTATGATCAATTTTTTAGTTCTACCCTACCTATGATAGAAAATACAAAGGAGACAGGCTTACACTCTAAGGATGAGCCACTAAATTCCAGACTGTTGGAAATACTATAGAAGAGATGATCTAGCTTCTTTTCTAAATAAACTATAAGGGGAGATAAATGAATCAGAGATTTGAGATTCACAACAAATTGCAGCACGGTCTTATTTTGATCTTGATTTGAACAAAAAGAATACAAGCGATGGGAAGGAAAGACGGAAGGAGGGTAGGAAGGAAGGAGAAAGAATGAACTGGGGGAATGTGAATAATCACTTGATAATAAGGAAATATTATTAACATTTTTATGTCTGATACTTCTTGATATTTTTAAAGAAGTCTTTTAAAGTTACATACTGAAATATTTTTAGATGAAATAATATGTGATTGCTTCATTCACAATACCCAAGATATGGAAACAACCTAAGGATCCACTAATGGATGAATCGATAAAGAAAATGAGGCATATATGAACAATGGAATATTATTCAGCCATAAAAAGAAGGAACTCTTACCATTTGCTACAACACAGATGGACCTTGAGGGCATTATGCCAAGTAAGGTTAAGTCAGAGAAAGACAAATACTGTATGATGCTTATATGTGGAATCTAAAAAGGTCAAATGCATTAAAGCAGAGAGTAGAATGGTGGTTACCAGGAGCTAAGTTAGTGGTGGTGGTGGGGGGAATTAGGAAGATATTGTTTAAGGGCACAAACTTGCAACTAGTGGTAAGTAAGACTTGGAGATCTAATGTACGACATAGTGATTACGGTCAACAATACTGTATTATAAGCTTCAAAGTTGCTAAGAGACCACATCTTAATTGTTCTTGCCACAAAAAAGATGTAATAATTATGTGACATGACAGAGGTGTTAGCTGACACTACAGTGGTAATCATATTGTGATATATAAATGTATCAAAATAAATACAGTGCATACCTTAAACTTACACAATGCTATATGGCAATAAAAATATATATGTAGTCGTGTCAAAATAACCCAGGGGCTTAAAGAGAGTGGGTGGTCATACAGTTGAAATAAGATTGACCAAGTTGATCACTGTGGTAACTAGTGATGGGTACACTGGGATTCATTATACATTTCTCTATGTTTGAAAATTTTGTATATGTTTTAAATTTTCCTTCACACAAAAATAACAGATCTATTGCACTTTTTATAAACAACTTCTATTTGGGTGAGAGGCTGGGCTAGCTGTTACCTAAGGTTTTGTTAGTTTGATAATTTTTATTGTCTATGAAGATAAAATGAGTAGAAAAAATGTTACAGATTTGCTTTTGGAGGGTAGCATGTTAGCTTACATAATCCCTCTCAAGAAATATTTTTCTGTGTTAAAAACAAGACAACCGGCGCAAATTGAAGAGTTGATTATGCTCAACCCACATCACCAAACCGAGACTGAACTTACAGTTCCTCTCCCAGAAATGGAATCTTAAACCAGTCCATCAGGAATCACCTGATCAGCACTAGTTAGGTAAGGTGCCTGATTAGCCCCTGCGATCCCCTAAGGGAAAGTAAACTTTCAATAACCAGTTTGTTTTTTTTGCCTAGTATTCCTCCCCTGTTCCTATTCTCTTCTGCCTATAAAAGTCTTTCATTTTGCACAGCTCTTTGGAGCTCCTTTTTATCTGCTAGATCAGATACTGCTTGATGCATGAATCACTGAATAAAGCCAGTATGATCTTTAAAATGTACTCATTGAATTTTTTTAACACATGAGATCCTAAAAAGAAGTGTGAATAATTTAAGAATTGACTGAACATAGAAGAGACCATGCTATATTTCAAATTTGTACCAACCTTTAAATGTCATCATATTCTGAGTGAATGAGCTGACCAGGACACGTGCGCCAAAAGATTCCTTGAACCAACCTGGATAATCTTCACCAAGTATTTTGATGTTCCTACTCAGTATTCCAACATCAGCTGCTAATGTATAGCTCTGACCTGTTCCAGGAACATGGTATCTTTCAGCTGCAACAGAAGGACAGCTAGATTATTACCAATGCTGAAAAATCCCTGTGTTTATTAGTTCCTTTGTAATTCACAGGCCACATAACTTTCTAATATGCATGAATTAATTAGATTTGCACGCTTAAACATACATAGATGGCAGACTGAAATTATGATATCTTTTTATTTTTGTTCTTTCCAAGTTTTCACTTAAATTTCAGTTAGTAAACATACAGTGTAATATTAGTTTTGGGTATAGAATTTAGTGATTCAACACTTACATACAACACCCAGTGCTCATCACAAGTGCCCTTCTTAATTCTCATCACCCATTTAAGCCATCCCCACACCCAACTCCCCTCTGGTAACCATCAGGTTGTTCTTTATAGTTGAGTCTTTTCTTTTTTTTTTTTCCTGTCTTTTTTCCACCACTATGTTCATTTGTTTTGTTTCTTAAATTCCATGTATGAGTGAAATCATATGGTATCTGTCTTTCTCTGATTGACTTATTTCGTTTAGCATAATACTCTCTAGCTCCATCCACGTCATTGCAAATGGCAAGATTTCAGTCTTTTTGATGGCTGAGTAACAATCCACTGTGTGTGTGTGTGTGTGTGTGTGTGTGTGTATTACCTCTTCTTTATCCATTCATCAGTTGATGAACATTTGGGTTCTTTCCATAATTTGGCTATTGTTGATAATGCTGCTATAAACATTGGGGTGCATGTGTACCTTTGAATTAGTATTTTTGTATCCTTTGGGTAAATACCCAGTAGAGCAACTACAGGTTCATAGGGTAGTTCTATTTTTAACTTTTTGAGGAACCTCTATACTGTTTTCCAGAGTGGCTGCACCAGCTTGCATTCCCACCAACAGTGCAAGAGGGTTCCCCTTTCTCTACATCCTTACCAACACCTGTTGTTCCCTGTGTTGTTAATTTTAGCCACTCTGACAAGTGTGAGGTGATATTTCATTGTAGTTTTGATTTGTATTTCCCTGATGATGAATGATGTTACACATCTTTTCATGTGTCTGTTGGCCATTTATATGTCCTCTTTGGGTGTTAAGTTTAATAAATTCTTTATAGATTTTGAATACTAACCCTTTATCAGATATGCCATTTGCAAATATCTTCTCCCATTCCAAAGGCTGCCTTTTAGTTTTGTTGATTGTTTCCTTCACTGTGCAGAAGGTTTTTATCTTGATGAAGTCTCAATAGTTCATTTTTGCTTTTCTTTCCTTGCCTCTAGAGACATGTTTAGTAAGAAGTTGCTATGGCTGATGTCAAAGAGGTTGTTGTCTGTGTTCTCCTCTAAGATTTTAATGGTTTCCTGTCTCACATTTAGGTCTTTCACTGATTTTGTTTTTGTTTTTAAAGATTTATTTATTTGGGGGGGGGAAGAAGGAGAGGAAGAGAGAGAAAGAAGCAGACTCCCCACTAAGCATGGAGCCTGACCTGAGGCTCAATCTCATGACCCTGAGATCATGACCTGGGCTGAAATCAAGAGTCAGATGCTCAATCAACTGAGCCACCCAGATGCCCCTGCATTTTGAACTTATTTTTGTGTATGGTGTAAGAAAGTGGTCCAGTTTCATTCTTTTGCATGTTGCTGTCCAGTTTTCCCAACACCATTTTTTGAAGGGACTGTTTTTTAATTTTAATTAAATAATTAAATTTAATTAACATATACTGTATTATTAGTTTCAGAAGTAATTTAGTAATTCATCAGTTGCATTAACATGCAGTGCTCATTATATCAAGTGCCTTCCTTAAGGCCCATCACCCAGTTACCCCATTCTCCCACCCACCTCCCCTCCAGCAACCCTCAGTTTGTTTCCTATAGTTAAGAGTCTCTTATGGCTTGTCTCCCTCTGTTTTCATCTTAATTTTCAATCCCTCCCCCTCCGTTCATCTGTTTTGTTTCTTAAATTCCACATATGAGTGAAATCATATGATATTTATCTTTCTCTGACAACTTATTTCACTTAGCATTAATACCCTCTAGTTCCATCCACATTGCTGCAAATGGCAAAATTTCATTCTTTTTGATGGCTGAGTAATATTCTATTGTGTATATATGCCAACTCTTCTTTAACCATTCATCTATTGATGGACATCTGGGCTCTTCCCATAGTTTGGCTACTGTGGACATTGCTGCTATAAACATTGGGGTGCAGGTGTCCCTTTGAATCACTATGTTTCTATCCTTTGGATAAATACTTAAAATAGTGCAATTGCTGGGTCATAAGGTAGCTCTATTTTTAACTTTTTGAGGAACCTCCATGCTGTCTTCCAGAGTGGGTATACCAGTTTGCCTTCCTACCAACAGTGTGAGAGTGTTCGCCTTTTTCCACATCCTTGCCAACATCTGTTTTTTCCTGACCTGTTTATTTTAGCCATTCTGACCAGTATGAGGTGGTATCTCACTATGGTTTTGATTTGTATTTCCCTGATGCCAAGTGATGTGGAGCATTTTTTCATGTGTCTGTTGGCCATTTGTATGTCTTCTTTGGAGAAATGTTTGTTCATGTCTTCTGCGCATTTCTTGACTGCATTCTTCGTTCTTTGGGTGTTGAGTTTGATAAATTCTTTATAAATTTTGGATATTAGCCCTTTATCTGATAAGACATTTGCAAATATCTTCTCCCATTCTGTAGGTTGCCTTTTAGTTTTGTTGACCGTTTCCTTTGCTGTACAAAAGCTTTTTATCTTGATGAAGTCCCAATAGTTCACTTTTGCTTTTGTTTGCCTTGCCTTTGAAGACAGTGTCTAGCAAGAACTTGCTGTAGCCAGGGTCAAAGAGGTTGCTGCCTGTGTTCTCCTCTAGGATTTTGATAGATTCCTGTCTCACATTTAGGTCTCTCATTGATTTTGAGTTTATTTTAGTGTATGTTATAAGAAAGTGATCCAGTTTCATTCTTCTGCGTGTGGCGGGTCCATTTCTGGGTTCTCTGTTCTATTCCATTGATCTATGCGTCTGTTTTTGTGCCAGCACCATACTGTCTTAATGACTATAGCTTTGTAATTATAGCATGAAGTCTGGAATTGTGATGCCTACAGCTTTGCTTTTTTTTTTTTTAACACTGCTTTAGCTATTCAGGGTCTTTTGTGGTTCCATACAAAATTTAGCATTGTTTGTTCTAGCTCTGTGAACAATGTTGGTAGTATTTTGATAGGGACTGCATTAAATGTGTAGATTGCTTCAGGTAGTATAGACATTTAACAATATTTGTTTTTCCATTCCATGAGGATGGAATGTTTTTCCATTTCTTTGTGTCATCTTCAATTTTTTTCACCAGTGTTTTATAGTTTTCAGAGTACAAATCTCTTACTTCTTTGGTTAGGTTTATTCCTATACTGATTTCTGTATATTGATTTTGTATCCTGTGACTTTACTGAATTCGTGTGTTAGTTCTAGCATTTTTTTGGCAGAGTCTTTTGTTTCTTCTATATAGATCATTGTGTCATCTGCAAATAGTGAGAATTTGACTTCTTCCTTGCCAATTTGAATGCCTTCCATTCCTTTATGTTTTCTAATTACTGTGGCTATGACTTCCAGTGCTATGTTAAATAACAGTGGTGAGAGTGGACATCCCTTGAGTGTAGAGAAAAAGCTCTCCATTCTTCCACATTGAGGATGATATTAGCTGTTTTTCATATATGTCTTTTATTATGTTGTTTCCTCTGTTTGTTGGGGGTTTTTATCATGAATGGATGTTGTTCTTTGTCATACGCTTTTTCTGCATCTATTGAGAGGATCATATGGTTCTTATCCTTTCTTTCATAAATGTGGTGTATCACATTGGTTTATTTATGAATATTGAATTACTCTTGCAGCCCAGGAATAAATACTACTTGACCATGGTGAATTATTCTTTTAATGCACTGTTGGATTCAATTTGCTAGTATTTTTTGAGAATTTTTACATCCATGCTCATCAGGAATATTGGCCTGTAGTTTTCTTTTTAGGGAAGTCTGTCTGGTTTTGGTATCAAGATAATGCTGGCCTCATAGAATGAATTCGGAAGTTTTCCTTCCATTTGTATTTTTTGGTATAGTTCAAGAAGAATAGGTATTAATTCATCTTTAGATGTTTGGTAGAATTCACCTGTGAAGCCATCTGCCCCTGAACTTTTGTTTATTGGGGGATTGTGATTACTGATTCAATTTCTTTGCTGGTTATTGGTCTATTCAAGTTTTCTTTTTCCTCCTGTTTCAGTTTTGGTAGTTTAAAAGTTTCTAGGAATTCATCTATTTCTTCTAGGTTGTCAAATTTGTTGGCATAGTTTTTCGTAATATTCTATTTTTTTGTATTTCTGTAGTATTGGTTGTTATTTCTCTTCTCTCATTTGTGATTTTATTTATTTGGGTCCTTTCTCATTTCTTTTTGGTAAGTCTTGCTAGGGGTTTATCAATTATATTAATTTTTTCAAAGCACTAGCTCCTGGTTTCAATGATCTGTTCTTTTTTTAATTTCTGTATCATTTATTTCTGCTCTAATCTTTTTTTTTTTTTTT